TTGTGTTCAGAGCAGGTAAACCTCTGCAGTTCTTTATACACCACTCCTCTGTGGTATAACTTTAAAAGAGAAAGTCTCCAGATAAAGTCCTGCAGGTTGCATACAATGATTGTGAGGATTGTTCTTCGATAACATAGATGCTGTACAGCATGTGGATTATTTTGTAAGGGAAGAGTTCCATCACTTTTCGCTCTGATGAGAAATTTGATCTATAAGTTTATCTGTAGAACAGCATTTTAATGTTGTTGGTAAACCCTACTGAGGTGCATTATCAGTCACCTTTGATAAAATATTGGCATAACTGTCTTTGTTAGCGTGTGTTGTGTGGTTTGCATTGTTTTGTCTGTCTTTTGTACTATAAGACTCATTGTCTGGAATATTTCAAACTCCTAAAAATGTAGGTAAAAGTCTCTTTGTTGAACTGTAGAGTTGAATTTTCAACATTAAAAAAGGACACAGCAGAGATCAACATCCCATAATGCAATTCACAACACACAGAAATACAGAAACATTTTTTTCATTCTCACCGTTACGAAGTTTCCATCGGCGTTCTTGCAGATGTTGGCTGTGGCGCGCAGGATGGCTATGCTCGTGATGTCCTGATGGTTTTTAGAGTTTGGTTTCTCCTTGATGTGGAAGCTGTGAGCTCCGATCAGGAGAGCCAGCAGGAGGATCGCTCGACTCATTCTCAGACGATTGTCAAGATCTGCAAGCTTGACTTTCTCCTACAGCATGCCGGATCATTTATACAGCATCATTTCAACTGATATGAAGAACGTTTGCAACGTCACCTTAAGATATGAGCATTTGTATAGATAACGCTCCATGAGCTGCTCTGAAGACTATCTGAGGACGATACGCAGAGTTCATCACTTTATCAGGTCATTTTCATTTATTCATTTATTTTCCTCCAGCTTAGTTTCTTTATTCATCAGGGGTCACCACAGCGGAATGAACCACCAACTATTCTAGCATATGTTTTACACAGCGGATGCCCTTCAGGCCACAACCCAGTACTGGAAAATACCCAAACACACTCATTCACACACACTCATACTCAAGACTTCCGGTCTCATTCACTTCCATTCATTTTTAGACGTTAAAAACTGCTCGTTACGCTGCTTGATGTTTCAAATTGTTATTTTCTTAATATATTATTCTACTTGGTCTGTATAGTCATGCAAACATTTGTTTGTAGAGCAAGTAGTTTGACCGTTTTCTGCCGTTTTTTATTCATTTCTCCCAAAGGCGACTGAATCGGAAGTTCTAAAACAATCGCGGAAACAGTCGCACTTCCACATTTTAGAATAAGGTCAATAGCTTATGTGTTTGGACTGTGGGGGAAACCGGATCACACGGAGATAACCAACGCCAACACTGGGAGAACATGCAAACTCCACACAGAAACGTCAACTGACTCAGCCGAGACTCAAACCAGAGACCTTCTTGCTGTGAGACTACAGTGCTAACCACTGAGCCACCATTGCCCCTCAAGTCATTTTATTAAGTAATTTTCATCATCAAGTATGTGTTATGAGATTAAAACACCGTCTCTGACGCAGAGATCATCTGTTATTCAACAAATGCTGGTTCATGTTGTGATGCACCACACGGCTGCATGTTGAGTATTTAACTCTTGTGTTCTGTTCAATTGACTCCCCTTTGGTTATGTTGGGGGCTGTTTTTGCCCCATTGACTTCCATTATAATCACATTTTTTGATTGCAACTCCATATAATGATGCATTCCTAATTGTGGGGGGTTTTTCCAACGCAGTTCGATTAAGTTAATATAATATAACTATATTTTGATGGTCAGTTTGTTGAGTTTAATTTACATTGCATCTACTTGTCAACGAATTCTCATTAGATTATAAGTAGACTGTTAAGTTAGGGTTAGTGTAATTTGACATGTACTTGCAAAGAATTGCAGTCAATTAAATGTCTGTTGAAGGAGCAGAATCAACAGATATTAAGCAGACAGTCTGCTAATACTTAAACTACTACTAAATACCATCAAAATAAAGTTAAATTTTTATAAATTTAAGTTGATTGATCATAAAACTATTACAGGGTTCATACACATTTTTACTACCAAACTTGCATGACTTTTCCATGATTTTTCCAAGGCTTTCAAGTAAATTTTCATAACCTGATGTTTCATGCAATGTCTACATACAGTTGAAGTCAGAATTATTAGCCCCCTTTTTATTTTTATTTTCTTTTATAAATATTTCCCAAATTATTTTTAACAGAGCAATGAAATTTTCACAGTGTGTCTGATAATATTTTTTCTTCTGGAGAAAGTCTTATTTGTTTTATTTCGGCTAGAATAAAAGCAGTTATTAATTTAAAAAAATAATAATAAATTTGGGACAAAATTATTAGCCCCTTTAAGCTAATTTTTTTTCTCGATAGTCTACAAAACAAACCATCGTTATACAATAACTTGCCTAATTACCCTAACCTGCCTAGTTCACCTTATTAACCTAGTTAAGCCTTTAAATGTCACTTTAAGCTGTATAGAAGTGTCTTGAAGAATATCTAGTCTAATATTATTTACTGTCATCATGGCAAAGATAAAATAATAAATGTTAGAAATAAGTTTTTAAAACTATTATGCTTAGAAATGTGCTGAAACAATCTTCCCAGAACAAAACAGTATTGTGGGAAAAAATAAACAGGGGCGCTAATAATTCAGGGGGGCTAATAATTCTGACATCAACTGTATGTGCGGTAAAAGAAAAACAATGCATGTTCAAATTTATCACGGCGTCTCGTAAAACATGCCACAACCTATTTAGTTTAAATTAGTATTTATATCTATGTAAAATTGATTTAGACGATGCTTACGGCACACTAATAATATGAGAGTACAGTAGGTGAGAGTTCAAAGTGGCCATTACCGCCGCACAATATACCGCAATCTAACCGCAGTTTGCGACTATGCCGCCAGGTGGCACAAAGGGATGGGATGCGAACGGACAGAAATAGACTATACTTTAGCTGTAAATAAAGATAAGCAATGAAACAAAGCATTGTAAGTCCTTCATTAATCATCATGTGATTGGCCAAGCACAGACAAGAAGTAAATAACTGATATTCAAGAACAGATATCTATTTTCCATGACTTTTACGAAACTTTCTGGGTTTGTCAGTTTTTCCAAAACTTTTCCAGGCCTGGAAAATGCCATGACTTTTAGGTTTTCCATGACCGTATGAACCCTGTATTACATTGTCCCCCCTGAAAGAAAAACTCAAGAATTGTGTTTGTTTAGCTCATTTTAGTATTTAATTATTAGTATATAATTTTATTATGTATTTAAGAAAAGAAAGACAGAAAAGAAAAACAATAATATACAACGAAAAGGGAAAAACAGCACTGAATTTAGCTTGTTCGCCTATAAATTCTGAATTAAAAATGTTATTTGAGATATTAAGATGCTGCTGCTGATGATGATAGTTTTCATGATATCTCAAATATTAAGTTGTTCGATCTCTTCACTGTAATACACTAAAAGTTAAGGTAACTCAAATCGTTATAGGAAACCGATTGCAACACACCATTTTAGTTCAAAAACTCCTCCTAATGAGTACTGTAAACTTACTCCATTTGAGTAAACGAAGCAATTTGTGCACAGTAAAACCCAATAAATGAAGAGAAATCAAATCATTTGAGGAAACCGACTACTACAAACCATTTGAGGTAAAAATTTTGTCTACATGAGTACTGTGAACTTAATACACTTGAGTAAACGGAGCAATTTGAGCACAGTAAATCCCAATAAGTTAATGCAGCTCAACCTGTTTGAGAAAACCGATTGCTACAAACCATTTAAGTAAAAAAACTAAAATTTAAGTTAAAAAAAAAAACTAGTCTATGAGTGCTGTGAGCTTAATCCACTTGAGTAAACAGAGCAATTTGAGCACAGTAAATCCCAATAAATGAAGAGAACTCAAACCATCTAAATACTGTAAAACCCAATAAGTTAAGGCAACTTAAACCATTTGAGGAAACCGATTGCTACGAACCATTTGAGTTAAACTAATCTATATGAGTACTGTGAACTTCGTCCATTTAAGTTGAAGTAATGAGGTATTTAATTAACTCATTACCTTCAACACTGAGTTCAAAACTCTTTTTCTAAATGAGTAGAATTCACTTTCAGTCAATGTTGAGTTAACTACACTCATTTTATTCGATGAAGTTGACTGTTGGCTTTTATTAGCGTCGACACAATAAAATAGTAAAGTTGCTTTTTCAATGGACTCCGACGCTAGAATCATGCAAATCATCATTAAAAATATCCAAATTCTCTTGTCAGATAACAGATCTACAAGGCCATGCCAAGAAGTTTACATGCATGCACACGACAGCGCTTATCATTTACACACGCATGCAAAACCCAGGCAGCTCATATGTGTTCTTATCCAGTCTAATTTGATATTCAAACAAAGTAATCATCAGAGTACGTTAGAAAGTAAAATGAGGCTGATGGAGTAAAAGAAAAGAAAATAAATACACTACATGAATTACTACAGTGTTTTTGTACCACTCTATAGTCATGTGTGTTATGCAACATACAGTTGAAGTCAATATTATTCGCCCTCCTATGAATGTTTTTTTCTTTTCAAATGTTTCCCAAATGATGTTGAACAGGTTCAGGAATGTTTCATGGTGTTTATAATCTTTTTTCTTCTGGAGAAAGTCTTATTTGTTTTAGACTGGTAAAATATGGGAGAATCTCAGTAAAAACGGGAGGGTTGACCGGTATGAGTATGACAATGGGTGTTGTACTCTCAGTTCTGTGTTGTGGCTGAAAGAGCATCCACTGTGTAAAACATAAGTAACTGGCAGTTCCTTACACTGTGGCGACCTCTAAGCTGAAGGAAATTACATAACTCAAATGAGAAAATCCTGTATGGTCATTTATAATATGCCATTCAATGAAATGTCAACACAACATGTTTCACTAGTTGCTTTGATTCAGCAGAGTCACTCTTGATGCAACAAGTCAGCAGGATTTATTTGACAGTATTGATATGAGCATACAGGATGTTTTCAGCTTTATGCATCAGCGTTTTCAATTTTTTGCTCGCTTGCGTCTGAAACTCTTGATTTGGAGCTGAAGATAGAGAAGCGACTTTTCCAACCGCCCTTCGGCTTGTCCTGATGAAGCCCCACCAGCCTGAGGAGAAGATTAATAATGACAGATATTAGCTAATAGGCAGATTTAACAACAAAAGACAGTACAACCATACAACCCTGACAGCACATTGTGGAGACGTCTTTTTTATGTTTGTCTTGTTCACTTAAAAGAATACTGGGTGGATTTAACCCAGTGTTGGATCAAACCCAGAATTGGGTTGTTTTTTTCACTTTTTAACCCAATGTTGGGTCTCTCCATATTTAGCACTTTTTAAAAAAATAAAATAAAATAACAAAGCTTTTTTAGAGTGTGTTTATTCAAGCGTTTGCTGTATGTCTAATAAATGTCTCCATTTGGATGGTAAATAGACGTTTTGAAGATCAGTCTACAAATACTGGGTTGTATTAACCCAATGTTTTTTTTTTTTTTCACTTTTAAACCCAATGGTTGGGTTTGTCCAAATTTATCCCATTTTTAAAAAATAAAGTAACAAAACAAAACCTGTTTAGAGTGTGTTTAGTAGAGTGTTTGCAGAATGTCTATTAAATGACTCCATTCAGATGGTAAATGGACGCTTTGAAGATCACTCTAAAAATGCTGGGTTGTGTTAACTTAATGTTGGGTTACTTTTCTTAAGTGAAATTTAAATGACATTTTTTTTTAACTAAAAGGTTGAGTTTTTCAATATTTGATTCAACATGTGTGTATTTATTTGTGTGTTTGCAGTATGTCTGTTAGAAATCTCCATTTTGAATGTTCAGACCCAGTGGTCGCCCACTGAAGCTAAGCAGGGCTGCGCCTGGTCAGTACCTGGATGGGAGACCACATGGGAAAGCTAGGTTGCTGCCGGAAGTGGTGTTAGTGAGGCCAGCAGGGGGCGCCCTAATGCCCCAGTACAGTGACAGGGACGCTATACTGCTCAGTGAGCGCCGTCTTTCGGATGAGGTCCTGACTCTATGTGGTCGTTAAAAATCCCAGGATGTTCTTCGAAAAAGAGTAGGGGTTTCATCCCGGCATCCTGGCCAAATCTGCCCACTGGCCTCTGTCTATCATGGCCTCCTAACCCTCCCCATATCATAATTGGCTTAATCACTCTGTCTCCTCTCCACCAATCAGCTAGTGTGCAGTCTGGCGCAAAATGGCTGCCGTCAAGTCATCCAGGTGGATGCTGCACACTGGTGGTGGATAAGGAGATTCCCCCATTGTGTAAAGCGCTTTGAGTGCCCAGAAAAGCGCTATATATAAATATAAGGAATTATTATTATTATGTTAAATAGAAGTTTTGAATATCACTCTAAAAAGGCTGGGTTGTATGAACTTAGTGTGGGACAAATAAGGAAAAACCCAATGTTGAATTAATTTTATTAATTAAATTTTAAGTGACACTTTTTACCTAAACTGTTGAGTTTAACAATATTTGAAACTATTTTTTAAGTGTATTTATTTGTTTGTTTGCAATATGTCTATTAGACATCTCCATTTGTACTTTGAATGCAGGTTTTGAATATCAGTCTAAAAATGATGCATTGTATTACCCCATTGTTGGGTCAAATATGGAAAAACCATGGTTATTTTTTTCACTTTTAAACCCAATGGTTGGGTTTGTTCATATTTATCCCATTTTTTATAAAAAAAAAAAATTAAATAACAAAACAAATCATTTTCAGGTGTATTTATAAGTGTGTTGGCAATATGTCTAATAAATGTTTCTATTTGTATGTTAAATGGACATTTTAAATATTACTCTAAAAATGCTGGGTTGTATTTACCCAAATATTGAGTCAAATATGGACACACCCAACATTGGGTTATTTTTCAGGTTTTACCCCAAGGGTTGGGTCTGTCTATATTCATTAAATTTTTAAAAATAAAATAACTAAAGATTTTTAATTAGTGAATTTGCTGTGTGTCTATTACACGCCTCTTTTGAGATGTTAAATAGATGTTTTGAATAAATCACTCTAAAAATGCTGGGTTGGATGAAATATGGACAAACCCAACATTGGGTAATTTTTCACCTTTTTACCATGTTCATCCTGTTTTTTAAAATATGATAACAAAACAAAACATGTTTGGACTGTGTTTATTCAAGCGTTTGCAGTGTGTCTATTAAATGTCTCCATGTGGATGCTAAATGGACGCTTCTGAGCTCACTCTAAAAATGCTGGGTTCTTTTGACCAATGTTGGTTTGATTATCTCACTTAAAATTTAAATGACTCTTTTTAACTAAAAGGTTGGGTTTGCCAATGTTTGACCCAACATGTGTGTATTAATTCATGTGTTTGCAATATGTCTATTAGACATCTCCATTTGGATGGTAAATTGATGTTTCGAGTATCTCTCTTTACAAATGCTGTATTGTATACACCCAATGATGGGTTCAATATGGACAAAACCAACATTGGGTTATTTTTTAACCTCTTAACCCATTGGTCGGGTCTGTCCATATTCAGCCCATTTGTTAAAAAAAAAAAAAAAAACATGTTTAGAGTGTATTTGCAAAATGTCTGTTAAACGTCCCTATTTGGATGTTAAATAGATGTTTTGAATATCACTCTACAAATTCTGGGTTGTTTTAACCCGATGTTGGTTTGATTATCTCAATTAAACTTTAAATGACACCTTTTAACTAAAAGGTTGGGTTTGTCAATATTTGACCCAACATTTGTGTATTTATTTGTGTGTTGGCAATATTTCTATTAAATGTCTCCATTTGGATGTTAAATGGACGTTTTGAAAATCCCTCTAAAAATGATGCATTTTATTAACCCATTGTGGAGCAAATATGGACAAATATTGTGTTGTTTTTTTCAGCTTTTAGCCCAATGGTTGGGTCTGTCTATATTCATTCCTTTTTAAAATAAAAGCAAAACATGTTTAGAGTGAATTCATTGGAGCGTTTGCAGAATGTTTATTAAATGTCTCCATTTGGATGTTAAATTGGTTTTGAAGATCACAATGCTTTATTATATTAACCCAGTGTTGGATCAAATACCTGTATGGACAAGTCCAACATTGGGTTATTTTTTCACCTTTTAACCCAATGATTATCCCATTTTAAAATTAAAATAACAACAAAGCATTTTTAAAGTGTGTTTATTCGTGTGTTTGCAGTATATCTATTAGACCAGTGGCTCTCAAACTTTTTTCATCAAGTACCACTTCATAAAAAAACTGTCTCTCCACGTACCACCAAAATGAGCAGTATTGAAATACAGTAGTGTAGTAGGCCCAGTAAAGCAGCTACAACTCTGCACAGTTTAAAAAACGTGACGGATTACCTCAGAAATATAGGATATATGTCATATATGGCATATTATATACATCATTTTTGATAAATTTTGAAATGTGTGTAGCATGTACAAAACATCTTTCATTCTTCCGCGTACCACTAGAAGGAAGCCTGCGTACCACTAATGGTACACGTACCACAGTTTGAGAACCACTGTATTAGACAGCTCCAGTCTAAAGTTAACTAAAGTTATTTAGTTTGAAATGTTAACAAAACATTTGTAACATAACCTTTTAGCTTACTGCAGATGATTTCCAGACCAAACGCTCTTTAAAGTAAATCTTACAGACATATGTGTGCTATTTGCCTGCTAAACTAGTACACAATCACCACAGTGACACAAGCTGAATAAGAATCCAGATAATTTAGCATATCTGGGCAGTTTGATTCACTTTCCCTGTCTGCAGATGTTAGTATATCAGTATTTACAGTCAAGAAGTGTACCTGAAGTAGCTGGCATCATTGTTACTCTTCCAGATTTTCTCCAGCAGCTGCACGGTGGCAGCGACGGCAACTTCAGCCGCTTGATTATGCAGTAAACCATGACTTGAGTCAATGGCGTCTTTATTGATGCCGTTCCAGCTTTTCCTGAAGCCAGTTGTGAAGTCTGATTTTCCTCCATGGCTGCACTTTCCTATTAGCGAACAACAGAACTCAGTCTGTAGATTGGATGCATTAACTGGCTGATGATGATCGATTATTAGATCAGTCTGATGAGGATATCAGTAGCTGTGTTTCCCTCCAAAGATGCATATAACTATATGCTCTAAACTGCAATATGGCATAAAACACTTGCAAATAAAGCAGCGTTTACATCCAGTGAGGAACTAAAGAGAACAAAATCATCACTTCCTCATAAACTGACCACAAATATCAGAGAAATGTCGTTTAGTGCAGTAGAAGAAGCCACTGTGGTCTTTTCTCTTTTTTAATCTTATAATATCTGGGTTTCTACTTTATATTTATGTATATATCAATGCAAACGTACATTAAATATAACAATATAGAAATTATAGTGTGTCTGTTTTAAATATCCTTGGTTATTATTGAGTTACTATTGTTTATAATAACAGGAAAGCTGTCCTTAAATGATTTATTATCATTGTGTCGTAGTGACGCACTCTAAAATGTACAGGTATCAGTATCAATATCGCCAAAGTACCAAGAAAAATATTGGTACTCATACTCAGTGTTTAAGAAATGGTGTCAGTGCAATCTCTACTCATAATATTCTACATACAATAAGCTGCTGTTGTTTATAATCAAGCACTCAGCGCTCTTTCACTCCGATGGTTTTCAGTCTAATATAAATGATATATAAAATTTCTTTACCAGGTTTTTTGGTTTTCCCGAAGTATCCTGAAGTCAGAATCTTGTTTTGTATAACGGTGTCCAGCAGTTTTGCCCCAGTGTTTGTATCGGGAGCGGTGTTATCACACGTGTCAGTGTTTTCATCTGGAGGAAGACAGACTCAGTTTACTCATTAACATGTTTTCTAAACATTAGGGCTGCATGATATTTGAGATATTTATTTTATATTATATTGTGTATATATATTTTGTGTGTGTGTGTGTGTGTGTGTGTATATATATATATATATATATATATATATATATATATATATATATACACACACACACACACACACACACACACACACACACACAAAAAAAAAAAAAAAAATATATATATATATAT